GTTTATGTCAGAACCGGTGCCATCATGGCACCGGATACCGGTACCCATCCCTAAAACTGAGTCTTTCTTTTTTCTTTGTTTCAGATGCAGTTTCTCTTCGTGTTGTTCCAAACAGATTGCAGTTCTTTGAATATGAATCAGTAACATTTCACTGTGAAGGAGTCGATTATTGTGAAGTTTTGCATAAATTCAAAGGAAAAATAAAATCATGTAGTAAAACTAATAAGAGGACACCAACAGGATCATCCTGCTCCATTCAACCTGTTTATGCAGACAACAGTGGAGAGTACTGGTATGAGCTTGAAGGAGGGAGAAGAAGCAACATTATCAGCCTCTCTGTTACTGGTATATTTGAATAAACAAAACTTTTATGACATTCATTTTAATAGAATTTAATTTCATGTATTTAATTATCAAATGCATGTCATTTAGCTGGTCCTGTGATCCTGGAGAGTCCTGCTGTTCCTGCGTTGATGGAAGAAATTGTGACTCTGAGCTGCAGAAACAAAACTCATTCCTCCAACTTTAAGGCTGAGTTCTACAAAAATAGACGTTCCATCCATAAAACCTCCACAGGAAACATGACCATCCAGAGAGTTTCAAAGTCAGATGAAGGACATTACAAGTGTAGCATCTCAGGAGCTGGAGAATCACCAGAGAGCTGGCTGAACGTCACAGGTGAGACACTGAGATGTTTTAAGATAAGATTTAGACATACATATTATATGAATGACAGTTGATTTGGGGGAGGCTGTTGCTCAGGAGGTAAGAGCAGGTTATCTGCTGATCGGAAGGTTGGTGGTTTCATTCCTCCCTCCCACAGTCTGTTTTTAAGTAGATCTTCGATGCATGCTTCGGAGTGTGAATGGGTGTGAATGTGTGTGTGTAAATTTTTGGAATACTGATAACTTTCCAGCTTCCAAACTTAAATTGTAGATTTCAATAACTAAAACAGGTGTGTGGTGTTTTAGAAGCTTTAACTTTATTGGAAAGATTTTTAATGTCATTATGAAGAAGCGAAAATTAACTTTTGATGGTTTACCGTTCTTGTCTCATTTAAACCTTCCTGTTTTTTTCTAACCACCATTTAGAGTCTCAAAATAAAAATTCCAAATCTAATCCAGACGAAGAGGCGTGCCATTTTTCCTCTGCTGCCACACGGATCATTTCTACCATTTTAGTTAGTGCCCTGTTGGTGGTAGTGGGACTGTATCACATTTGCAAAGCTTGCTGTAAGAGAGGTAATGACAATTATTATTATTTCTATTATTATTTTTTTTTTAAACTTTTTTAAAAATAAAAGTGAATGTCATAAACTAATTGGCTTGAACTAAAAAAAACATTTATACCTTTTATATGTGTTTAAAAAGCAAATTAAAAATTATTTTGTCATTTATTTCTTTAATCTTCATAGAGGCCGACACAGTGGATGCAGGCAGAGCAACATGTGCTGCTGTAAGAGAGACGGAGGGTTCTTTACTCAACAACAGTAGCACAAAATTACTTCTGTCAAAAAGATTTTTTTTTGTTTTCTCTTGTGGTGTTGTGTGTATCTTTGTTAGACGTGTATGTAATATTTATGAATATATAGATGCGAGTGATAATTTGAGCATCCAAAACTTACGCCCCAAATGGAAACCACTTAGATACAATTTTAAACCTCTTCTTTTAGACACGAACTGTGTCTCATACGTCTCGAAATGTGAAGTTCATCTTCAGACATGCATTCTGTTTCAAAATTAACTTTAAATGTAATTGTTTTTTTTAACAATAACATTCAGTGACTAGCATTAGCTGTCTCATAAAGTACACTACTGCAAGAGAAGAAAATGCAAAATAAGAATTTTACCATTTGACAACACAAACAACAAAGTAATATATAATGGAGTAGTATAGTACAAGGCATTAAAACATCTAACAAAAAATGTTCAGAACTGTAAAGTGTAATATCTTGGTTTTGTGCAAAGGCAGGATCAAAACTAGCGCAACTGATATTGTTGTCAAATTATCAGGCAAGCAGCAAAAATTCAATTTGAAAAGGAAGTTTTTAGTCAGCTCAGTGTTCCGTATGCCATCGCCTTACATAATGGGCCCATCTAGGAATGACATCGATTTTCTTTCTAAAATTGAATTTCAGATTTTCCCCAAAATGTTAATGAATACATTAAAAAACAAACAGGGATCATCATCACTAATATTGCTGTGCTTATTATCCCCACTATCCTGCTTCATTACTGTATTACTATATGAATAATATAGCAACATATTACTATTACTTCCTTACTATATGGAGATGCATTGACCTGTATTTACTAACAATTAGGCCTTGAGGACGCTCAACTACAAGGTAATATTAATTGTGATAAAAAGGCATGCCCATGATAGCATTGAGACATCAGTGTCATGGGTCCATGAGAGATGGACCCAAAATGCAGGCACCGGCTTGATGCGAGTGAGCGTTTATTTACAAAGGTGAGGACACAAACAGAAGTGGGCGTGGCATAAACAGAAACTAAGGGAAACCTGAACTGGAAAAACTAAGGAACAACAAACCAAACTAACAAACCTGAAATGCAGGAGACAGAGAGCAGAGATGCAGGGCAACATGGAGAATGAAATGCATGAATACACAGACGGACTGACATTTGCAAAGGCAAATACACAATATAGACGCAGGTGAACCTACTTGGGCAAAGGACACAGACCTTTAAAGTAAAACAGGAAACCCACAGACTGAACTGACAGACACAGACTCAGCGGCACAAAACAGAGGGAGCACAGAGTAGAGGGACCAGAGTGACATGAGGAGCAGAGGAAACCAAAACCTAAGAACTAGAAACAGAAACCAAACCAAACCAAAATACTAACAAACGTGAACCAAGAAGAAAACCACAGACTAAGAAATATAATACTACAAAATCAAAAACTGGGTCACAGACCTAGGAACATGACAATCAGAAACATAACCAAGTAATTGTTAATGATCTAAAAAAAAAAATGTGTTTTTTTATGTAAAATTTCTTGTCTACCAATTTATTTAATTGTAGCATTCATCCAAGCAGAAGCAGGAACCAGCAGAGCAATGTCTTCAGCAGGTCCACAGCAACCCGTAGCAGTGGAGTCCTTCTATTCTACTAAACAAAAGGTAAAACTATGGACACGGATGCCTTATGTGCTGCATTAAGGCATCCGTTAAGGATTGGTAAAATTGACAACTTCATACATGAAATATTTTCACTAATGTTTCACACTGAACATATTTTTTGGGAACTCCTCAAAGAAGTGAATATTGGTGTGGAATATGCACCATAGTCATTTTTCTATTCTATATTTTGTTATAAGTTGTGTTGTGTTGTGTTGTGTCATGTTGTATGTAGTGCCAACTTGGGACAGTATTCCAGTTTCATTGTACTATTCTACTATGTATGATTGTGCAATGACAATAAAGAGTTTTCTTGTCATCTATCTTACATTTTTTTCTTCTACACTTCTTTTGTGTCTCACAGGTTGCAGAGAGAGAGCTGAAGAAATAATCACATCTGAAGGAGAGTGAAAACAAAAATATAACTCAGTTTTATCACATATTGTTCTAGTAATTAACCAAGTTGTACATTGTCATCTCAGTTTTGTCTACATGTCTATAAATTGTTATATATTTTCTTTTTTCTGTCATTTGCCATTACTGTGTGGTCATAAGTGTATATAAGCCTTTTCTTGAATACAAGCAAAGGTACCAGCTTGATATTTAGAAGTTGAAGTTAAACAAAGTGTTCGATCATTCCATTTTTACACATGTATGTATGAATAAGTATGTATGCTGTTAAAATAAAAGTGCTGGTGCAGCTTTTAAAAGCACCCATTGTGGTCAACTGCTAATGCCAAAGTGTCATATTACTTATTACACAACAGACCCACCGAGGTTGTGGTCAGCAATGAAATATAACTGCCAAGTCTGATACTGAGCACGACTTTAACTGACTTCAAGTTAAAGTCTATTAGACACACCACTTATTTTGTCTGGGTATACACAGACAAAATAAGTGGTGTCTTATTTCATTCTAAAACGTATCTTAAATAAAGCCAAAGAAAATGATCTGAATTTCTACCTTACATTTGTTCATTTGTGAAAAGCATAAATCAGGAGCTCTATATTTGCAATTTTGTGCAAATATAATGTGTCTTCAATTTAAAGATATAATTAATGCATTTATAAATTAATTAATGTGCAATTAATTAAAAAAGCCACATGCTCCACATACATTAATGCAAGTAGGCAAATAGAGTTGATTTTTTTAAGCTTTAATCTCAGCTGTTGGCAGTAGTCGAAAATAAAAATGTCTCTACAGCTAAGGGGTAACTTGTAATTATAACTCTAAAATCGTGCATTTTGAGTTTGTATGTGTTTTTGTCATTTTGTATTATGATTTATGTTTAAATCCACTTTGTTAGTCTTGAGTTTATAGTGCCGAGATTGTTCTGTTTTGCTTTTGATTATTAGATTCCCTCTTGTGTTGTTCTTACTTCCCTCGTGTTTCACTCTGTTCCTCCCTGCTTGTCATGTTTATCTTTGTTTTTGGGTTTATCTACACCTCTGTGCTTGTTCCTGTTACTTCCTGTTTTACTTTGGTAGTGTCTCTGTGTGTCTTTGAATATGGTGTCTGTGTGCACCATGTTTTGGTTTGCTTCTCTTAGTTTGAATGTACCTTGTCTCATGTATTATGATTAGCTTTGCCTTCTCTGCCTCGTGTGTAATTTGCCCCAGCAGTGTTCCCCATGTGTTTCATGTTCCCTCATCATTCCCTGTGTCTTTAAAGCCTTTTGTTTTCTTCTGTCCAGTGTTGAAATCTCTCTCCAGGCTTTGTGAGGCTCTCTGTGAAAAGTCTAATTGATTTTGCTTTCAGGTTTTAGGGATGCAGTTTTTTCTTTACTTGAACATAATCAAGTGAAATATACTGTAAAGATAAAGTAAAAAACAAAAACAAAATTGTTTCAACTGTGAAACATCTTAATAATTACTAATGAAGTTGGTTAGCAGAAGGAAAATGGTGGCCACTTGCAGAACCTGGCAGGATCTTGTTGTTTTTATTTTATTATTTGGTAGAATATTTATCATTTTATATAAATATAACATACAATGTTCATTTCAGCTACCAGTAACAATCAGAATCACAATGTCTTTATTGTCATTGTCACAGGTACAACAAAATTAGAAGTGGTCTCCAACCAGTGCATCATCCATAAAAATAAAAAAATGTCAATACAATCAATAAAATAAAATACTTAAAGTACTAATAAGAATAATCTTACTGTATGCACAAACATTTACATACATTCCCACACACATGCCTCAGTCAGTGCATAGATCATTTCAAGGGTAGCGTGATGGCCATTTTTTGGCAGGCAACAAGGCGGCTGGGAACAGCAAGTGCCAAACTATCTCGAGCCATCAGAGCAGCAAAGCGCACACATTGCAGAAGAATGTACATTAACTTCCAGGACAGCAGTGATACGTGGCACATGTGGCAGCTACAGGAAGACGACACCTGCCTGCAAGGGTGACACTTTCCTACTAGATGTGTTGAACAACTTCAATGCACGGTTTGACGCTCAGAATGACCTTGGTGAGAAGTTCCACCCCGTCTCACAACAACCAGGTTCTGTGTCTGACCTCGGCTAATGTAAGGAAAACTCTTTGTTACCCCACAGAAAGCTGCTGGTCCAGATAACATTCCTGGAAGAGTGTTCAGAGAATGCGCAGACCAGCTGACAGATGTCCTCACTGACATCTTCAGCCTCTCCGTGAACACTGATGTCGTCCCAACATGCCTCATGGTCACCACTATCATTCCTGTACCAAAGAAGTCCTCAGTGTCCTGCCTGCGGCGACTACCATCCTTTGCACTCACACCGATCATGATGAAGTGCTTTGAGAGGCTTATCATGAAGCACATTAAGACCTGGCTGCCACCCACACTGGACCAACTGCAGTTCGCCTATCGCCCAAACCGGTCAGCAGATGATGCCATCGCCACTACCCTACATTTTGCCCTCACCCACTTGGACAATAAAGACACATATGTATGAATGCTGTTCACAGACTTCAATTGAGCACTCAGTGCAATCATTCCTCAGCATCTGATGAGAAAACTGAGCCTGCTGGGCCTGAACACCTCTCTCTACAATTGGATCCCAGACTTTATGACTGAGAGACTTCAGTCCGGATCAGTAACAGCATCTCCAACACCAGAGCACTGAGCACTGGAGCCCCTCAGGTCTGTGTGCTCATCCCACTGCTGTTCACTCTGTTGACTCACAACTGTGCAGCAATGCCCAGTTTGAACCACCTCATTAAGTTTGACACAACTGTGGTGGGTCTCATCAGCAAGGATGATGAGTCAGAATACAAAGGTGAGATGCAACAGCTAACGGACTATTTTAGAGTCAGTAACCTGTCTATAAATGTGGACTAAACAAAGGAGATTATTGTTGACTTCAGGAGAGCATGGAGAGAGCACTGTCTACTTAACATTGATGTATCCTCTGTGGAGGTCATCAAGAGCACCAAATTCTTTGGATTCCACCTGGCGGAGCTCTCCTGGTCCCTCAACACCAGTTCCATAACTAAGAACACCCAACAGCATCTCTACTGACTGCAGAGACTGAGGGAAGCCCATCTCTCGCCATCCATTCTCACTACCTTCTACGGAGGTAATATTGAGAGTGTCCTGAGCAGCCGCATCACTGTCTGGTAAGGTAACTGCACCACATCGGATCGCAATACTGTAGAACTGATAGTGGGAACAGCTGAGAACATAATTTGAGCATCTCCATCCCAGACCCTTAATGAAACTCACTGAATCTGCAAAGCCACCAGCATTGTGGAGAATCCCACACACCCCTAACACACACTCTTCACCCCACTGCCTTCTGGCAAGTGCTACCGGAACAATCGGGCCCTCACTATCAGACTGCGAAACAGTTTAGTCACCTAGGCCATCAGACTCCTGAACACTCAGTGGCTGTACTCACACACACACACTCACACACACGATGACGTGAGTGAGTGCGACATTCGTGACAACAGCTGTGTGCAGATCAACAATGGATAATATATCGAGTACGAGAGAGTATGAGCGTGCAGCGTTTAAAGCGTGGAAGTACTGACCTTACTTTGAGTTTGATTCCATAAAAAGTGACAAAAACATTAGTGTCCGTTGTGCGTGGGAAGAAAACTTCTTTTTACAGCGAAAAAAACCCTAAACAAGCACCGAGTGCGCTACCACGTAATGGGAAATTCACAGAGAAACTCGCGGATTCTTCAACTGACCGCTGCGGCACACCTGCACCAGGGTAAACCTCCACCTACCTCACTCCTGCTTTACAGGTGAAAATAGAGCAACAGGGCCGCTAGTCTTTGACTTTATTTATTTTCTGCTGTGTTTTGCATCTATTTGAAAGAAAAAATATATATTTTATTTTATGTGCTGGAATGTGCAGAAAATAGGTTTAAATGTTAAACTAATTTCCTCAAGTCAGAGAATGGTGCATATAATTAAATTTTTACTTGATGCATAAAGTTAAAAGATTAAAACTGATAAAACAAGTTTAAAAAAAGATACTTTTCCATTTGATTACATTTTGTATGATGGATTGTAGAAAAAGTAGAATTGGGCTGAAAGATCTATCGCTTTATTACCTATTCAGGTTGTAAATTGTGTTTTTAAAAAGTAACTAAGTAACTAAGTAATTAATTACTTTTGAAAATATGTAATCAGTAAAGTAACAGGATTACTTTTTTGGGGAAGTAATCAGTAATTAGTTACTGAATACTTTTTTCAAGTAACTTGACCAACACTGTCCATATCCCAGCAGCGTCCACCAAATTGAGCACAGGAAACAAGAACCAGTCTACAAGCTGCATCAAACACAGCATTAGTCTGAACTGGTTGTTCTTGTTCTGCCCACTGACAGTGAAATGAAACAGTGAGGCAACTTGACACAAAAGCAACTCAGCTTCTTTAGAACGGCTTTTGTAATGCTAGATAATTGCATTCAGACAAAAAACTAATTAAAATTAAAATATTTTTATCAGCAAAGAGACACCCCTGTTCATTTCAGTTAAGCTTCAATCTTCTGTATACAGCAATACGACATGAAGGTCAGTGCTCTCTGCATCACACTGTGTGAGTACTTTCTCTATTTCTACGTTGTTCTAATAATAAAATTAGGGTTATTCATGCTGATAAAAATATGATTGTTTTGTTTTATACTATACTAAGAAGGCTATTGCATTTTGTGGACTATGTATGAGATGTAATAATAATTATTATTTTAATTTAACTTTTAGCTTTTAGTACATTTAGCAAATAATACAGTATGTGTATAGTTACTATGTAGCTCTTTTTGTTCTCACTTCAGTGATGAGCATCATGATTCTGTTGTTTGTACAGGATCAGAAAGTTGGTGAGTACCAGCTGTTTGATCATCTATATCAGTTCATTCATTGTTTAGATGCATTATGGTGGTTTTAGTAGTAGAGTTTAGTAAAACTCTAAACTGATAGTTTTTTACTTTTTTCTTTTTCTTCAGATGCAGTTTCTCTTCGCATCATTCCAAACAGATTGCAGTTCTTTGTATATGAATCACTAACATTTCACTGTGAAGGAGTCGATTACTGTGAAGTTGTGCATAAATTCAGAGGGAAAATAAAATCATGTAGTGAAGTTACTGAGACAAGACCAACAGGATCATCCTGCCGTGTTAAAATTGTTTATACAGACAACAGTGGAGAGTACTGGTATGAGCCTGAAGCAGGGGGAAGGAGTAATATTATCAACCTCTCTGTTACTGGTACTTAAACAAAGATTTTATAAAATTTATTTTAATAGAATTTAATTTCATGTATTTAATTATCAAATGCATCTCATTTAGCTGGTCCTGTGATCCTGGAGAGTCCTGCTGTTCCTGTATTAATGGAAGAAACGGTGACTCTGAGCTGCAGAAAGAAAATTCCTTCCTCCATCTTCAAAACTGATTTCTACAAAAATGGACGTCTCATCCATACAAGCTTCACAGGAAACATGACCATCCACAGGATTTTCAAATCAGATGAAGGATTTTACAAATGTATTATCTCAGGAGTTGGAGAATCACCAGAGAGCTGGCTGAAAGTCACAGGTGAGACACTGAGATGTTTTAAAATAACGTGTTTCTGCATAAATAACATGTGATTTGGGGGAGGCTGTTGCACAGTAGGTAGAGCAGGTTATCTGTTGATCAGAATGTTGTTGGTTCAATTTCTGGCTCCCCCAGTCTGCATAAGCTTAAGATAACTCTCCGATGCATCAAACCGAATGTGAATGTTAGCTTTTAAGCATAGGAGGAATTGCTATTGTGAAAGAGTGAATGTGGCATATTGTGTAAAGCTCCAGAAGAGTAGAAAAGCTCTGTATAAGAATTACCTCTTTAAACAAAGAGGTTAAATCTGTTTCTAATAATAATTTTTGAAATACTTTGAAGTTTCCAGTGTGCACATCTAAATTGCAAATTTAAACAACTAAAACAGGTGTGCCAAACTTTCCATGGGTTTTTAGAAGCTTTAAGTTGTTTTGAAAGATTTTTAATGTCATTGTGAAGAAGCTAAAATTAACATTTGATCGTTTACCATTCTTATCTCATTTAAGCCTTCCTATCTGTTCTAACCATCATTTAGATTCTCAAAGTTTAAAATACACAAATAAAGACAAGAACGTGTGCCATTCCTCCTCTGCTGCCACACCTTGCATCATTACCACCATTTTAGTCAGTGCTCTGTTGGTGGCAGTGGGACTGCATCACTTTGGCAAAGGTTACTGGTGGAGAGGTAATGAAAATTATTATTATTATTATCATTATTGTTTTGATTATTAAGTGGAAACTTTTTACATAAAAGTGAATGTCATGGACTAAAAGACTTGAAGCAAGAAATCCTTATATTTTTTATTGTGTTTAAAAAACAAAACACAAAACCTTTTCTTTTTTTTATGTATCTTGATAGAGACGGGCACAGAGGATGCAGACAGAGAAACATATGCTGCTGTAAGAAAGACAGGAGGTATTTTACTGAGAAACAATATCACAAAATTACTTCTGTGAAGAAAAGTTTCACCCTTCTTTTCTCATGTGGTGTTGTCTGTACCTTTATTCAACGCATATGTATTATGTATAAATGCGAGCGATAATTTGAGCTTCCAAAACCTACGCCTCAAATGAAAACCACATAGAATATAATTTTAAAACTCTTCTTTTAGACACATGCTGTATTTCATACAGTTCAAAATAGTTACATGTGACATAAATGACAACTTCAGTTTTGAATTCAGCTTCAAAATTAAGTTGAATCATATTACTTTCTCTTTTCGACGATACCATTCAGTGACTAGCATTGTACTGTGTTGTACTGCAGGAGAAAAAAAATGTAGAATACAACCAAGAATTTTACCATTTGACAACCAATTAAACCAAAAAAATATATGATGGAGTAATTATAAATTTAAAACAAAATAAAAATAAAAGACATTAAAAAATATCAGACTTTTTGGGGGAAAGAGTATATTTTGTACATTAAATCTAATACAAATAACTCAGAAGTGTAAAGTGTAATATCTTTGTTTTGTACAAAGGCAGCATTAAAAAACCAAGAAGTTGTTATGAGCATCTGATATCCTTGTGTTCAAAGTGGAATTACCAGACAAACATCAGAAATTCAAATAGAAATTTAAATTTTTAGTTAACTCAGTACTTCTTACCTTGCATAATGGTGGGCCCATGTAGAAACGACACTGATTTTCTTTCCACCCCTGAATTTCCAATTTTCAAAAAATTGTAAACTTAATGAATACATTGAATAACAGACAGGGATCATCACTAATATCGCTGTGGTTATTATTTCCCTCATCCCACTGTCCTTCTTACAAGATGAAGATACATTGCCCTCTAAACCTAGTTGCCACAGCGTAGGCCTTTGTGATACTCGGCCACAAGGTAAGACTAATTGTGATTTAAAGCCATTTCCTTTACAGCATTGAGACATCAGAAACATAATTTGAAATGACAAATAAGTGTTTTTTAAATTATGTAAAGTATTTTTGCTATCAATGCATTTATTTCCATCATGTGTCAAAGCAGAAGCGGGAACCAGCACAGAGATGTCCTCAGCAAGATGTCCTCAGCAAGATGTCCTCAATTCCACTAAACCACAGGTAAGACTGGGAACAGGGATAACTTATGTGATGCATCCACACAATATGTGTTGGATAATAGAGATGTATAAGTCTGGGATTGGTAAAACTGACAACTTCATAATATTAAATTTATGGTGATGTATATATGTAAAAATGCTGATTTCACTACATAGAATAAGAAAAGTA